CATTCATGGTGGCACAATTCCCCTCCGGATGTGTCCCCTCAGCCCTGCACACGCGGGCTCCCCCGTGTCCTCCCTCGGTGGCCAGGCATCCCCGGGGTGCCCCAGGACCTCGCCCCCTGCTCCCTCCGAGCCAGCCTGCTCACGGTCGTGGCCCCCACACATCTCAGGGTGCACCCGTTGCCCCCCTGTGATCCCCGTTCATCACAAACCCGCCAGGTGAGCTCAGCACCTGCCCTTCTCCCACTGCCCTCGCAAAGGAGGTGAATCCCTCTGAGCAGCACAGGGAGCGGGGGACACGCTACCCCCAAACACAGGGACACCACGACCCGGCAGCGTCCCGACTGCTGCGACACCCAAGGTGGCCCTGGGTTTGGGGACACGATGCCCGGGCTGGCCTCAAGGTGGCACTGGCCACCTTTTGTCCCCAGGATGGCCTCGCAGGGCTGGGGGGCAGCGGGGCAGCGCTCCGGGGTGCGGGCACTGCTGGGACAGCGCGGGGCAGGGGGGCTGCCGGGGTGGGCGAGGGGCCACGGTCCCCATGGGCGGGGGGATGCAATCCACGGATGAGGGGCTGTGGCCCTTGTGGCTGAGGGACTCATGGTCCTCATGAGTGAGGGGCTGTGGTCCCCATGGGTGGGCGTACACGGTCCCCATGGATGAGGGGCTGTGGCCTTTGTGGTTGAGGGACCATGGTCCCCATGAGTGAGGGGCTGTGGCCCCATGGGCAGGGGGCCGTGGTCCCCATGGGAGAGGCCCACACATCCCATGCCCAGGGGGCTGCTGCAGAAGCTGCAGGTGGCCCAAAGCCTGTGAGGACGATGGAGGGATGGGAGTGCAGTGGGGCAGAGCCCTGGTGCAGCTCCAGCTCATGCTCCTGCCTCCGCCTCCGCCCGCCTCCAGCCCTGCCTTTCCTGGGCACTTTGCTCCCGGCCGTGGGAGAGCGGGAGCGGGCACAGCACAGCAGGGCACGGCAAAGGGCAGCCTGCAGCCCCTCGGCATGGCCTCCTGCCCCGTGGGGAACGGGCGCTCCCCGGGGGGACCCCACTCGTGAGAGCTGCCCGGGTCGCAGGTGAGCGGGGCAGCCCCTGTTTGGGGACAGCAGCAGCTGGGGGGGCCCTGCCATGGCCACGCAATCCCAGCTGGGCTCTGGGGCTGAGGGGCAGGGGTGGGATCCCCAGGGCTGGATGGGTGTGGGGTGGGAGTCAGCCAGTTCTCCCCATCCCCAAATCCCTCCGTACACCCTCCTCCCTAATGCACCACCACTCTCTATCACCGAGGGCCTTCATCCTTCCCAGCATGGCCACATCCTCTCCTTCATCCTCCTCTCCATCCCCCAAATCGCTGTCTCCTTGCAGGGGAAGCTGTCCTAGGGCTGTTGTGGCTCAGCCTGACACCATGGGGTTCTGGGGGACGGGGACAGCCCACCCAAGGGGGGAAGGAACCCCTCACCCCCACCCTGCTGAGCAGGGGTCACCTCGGGATGTGATGGGCAGCGAGGGAAGGGCCCGACCTCGCTGGTGTCCCCAGGGAGGTGTCCCCAGTGCCCAGCAGTGCCGACAGAGCGTGCTTTGGCTGCTCTTCCAGGCAAAGGGAAGGATTGGAATTAGGTCATGTCCCCTTGTGCCGGGGCTTTGGCTGCACAAACCACGTGGCGATTAGGGACAAGGGTCCTTCTGCAGGATGTTTTGCACAATTTCCCCTTGTTTTGCAATTTCCAAGAGCTTAGGCGAGAAGAAAAGCCCTGTTTTTCCATGCTCCAGCAGCTGGTCCCAGGCTCACCCAGCCCTTGGTGGCTGCTCTGAAATCTGTTCTTGCCTGCCCTCTCCGAGCTCCTGCTCCAGATCCCCAGCACCAGATCCCCATCCTGTCCCCATGACTTTGGCTCCAGGGCTGACCCTGCCTCTGGTGCTGCCCCACTCATTCATTTCATTGGTGCTTTTCAATGTCCCCACAAACCCCCAGGGCTGGAAGCCTCATCCAGCTGCTGGGGACACCCTGGCCTGGGGACAGCTGTGGATCCCACCAGGTCCTTTGACACAGGAACAGGAGCTCTGCCCTGTCTCCCAGCTCCATGGCCGAGCCTGGCTGCAGCTCCTGTTCCTCTGGCAAAGGGCCAAGGGCAGCATGTGCCCTCCAGCAAGTGGTCCTGTGGCCAGCCCCTGCCCCTTTCCACTGCTTCCTGGGGTATATGGGGGGCCAGTCCACAGGCACCATCCCAGAGGATGTGCTTGCTATGGGCAAGGGGCTCAGGGGGTTCCCCAGGATTGCAGCCCTCATACACCCACAAAATGGGCAGGGCAGGAGGGGGCATCACCTCCCCAGCTCTGTGGCCTTTCCCTGCGGCATCTTCCATCTTTCCAGCTCTGTGTCCTTCCATCTCCCCAGCTCCACCTCCCCTTCCTGCAGCACCTTCCCTCTCCTCAGTTCCACATCCTTTCCCTGCAGCACCTTCCCTCTCCTCAGCTCCACGTCCTTTCCCTGCAGTGCCTTCCCTCTCCTCAGCTCCACGTCCTTTCCCTGCAGTGCCTTCCATCTCCTGCTCCAACAGGCAGCCCCATCTCTTGGCTCACACCTCGATCCCTCCTCAAAAGCTCACGCTGGAAAGGCCTTGTCCAGGGAGAGCCTTTCTGGGAGTGTCAGTGAGGAGTAGGATCAGGGCTGGTGGTGACGTGTCCTCGGGCTGGACTGATGTGAATCAGTAATTTAAAGCACTGATTTTGGTTGTGACTAAGATGAGGACGCACAAAACCTCTTCAGATATAACTTGCCAAATGCCATCTTCTGCTGCATTTCTATTTTTTGGTGGTTATCCTTGAAGGAATGTTCTTGGGAATGGTTAAATCCTGCTGCTGACAGTCCTCAGGCTGTATCAGCTGCCAGAATCCGGGTCCCTGTGCTCTCTCCTCCGAGCAGCCCAGCACCACACAGCTGCTCAGGATTTTTCCTTGTGCATATCCCACACCAGGTTATTAACTGTTATTTACTGTCTTCTTCATATCTTGGTTGTTTGGTGACCTGTGTCACGGACACTGACTTCAGGCACTGAACCCTGCAGCACCTCCCCTCTGGTCGAGCTCGAGGCTTTGTGCTCACTTGCACTCAGAGGTTGGAAAAGGAAAACAAATCTCCTGGTCCCTCATGTCCTCAGCAGTGTCACAGCATGGGGACACGCTGGGCTGGGACCAGCACAGCACCCCGTGGGACCCCACTGGCACTGCACTCAGGTGCTCAGCATTTCCTACCTGCTGTTCCCACTCCTGGTTCTGGGAAAAAAACCAAGATCTTCCCACTGTTAATGTTTGATCAGGACCTGCCTGTTGCTCTCTGAACTCATCCCTGTAATAAAGGCAGGATCTTCCCGCAGCGCCGGGGGATGGGAACCACGGGGAGTTTGAACTGGGCCCAGCCAGAGGCTCAACCCGCAACTCAAACAGAGCCCGTGGAGCGCGGCCAGAGGGGCCACAGCCACCCCCTGCCTGTCTGCCTGCTGAGTCATTTACGGGCATCTCTGCAAACCTGTGCTCTCTCCAGGCGAGGCGTGGCAGGGACAGGAAGGAGCATGGCCTGGCCCATCCCACGGATACACCCTACGGGACATTCCTGCACATCCTCATGGCAAAGGCCAAGAGGAGGGGGATGATGAAGGAGCCAAGGGATGAAGGAGCCTGAGAGGACATGTCCTTCCACCTTGAACTACCAACACCAACACCTGGTTAATGTCCATTGTCGCCCTGAGTCCTTCCCTGTCCTGGTACATGGCCCCTCCTGGGTGAGCTCTGACCAACAGAGACTGGAGATGCACCAGCATTCCCTCCATCAGATGCAGTTTTGGCTACGCCCTTGTCCCCACCAGCAGCACTGCAGATGCTCCTGCTCCCAGGTTACTCATCCAAGCATCCATCCTTGTTGGAGGAATCACTTCACCAGGGATGGTGGTGGGTGCAGAGGGGTCAGAGTGCCAGCAGCCTTCCTTGGTCCTTTGCTGGACACCACGGAGAAGAGGGCTCTGAACTTCAGACATCCAACAGGCAAACCTGACCCTTTGACAGCTTGTGCTCGCAGTGAATTCCCAGGAGGATGCAGATCCAGCCTTTGATCCTAACACGGTGCAGGAGGAAATGTCCTGCCTTGTTAACTTGCACTGCCTTGAGCTGGGACTTGGCCCCAGTGCGGCTCCTCTCCACAGGGCTTAGCTCATCCCTCTCCTACGGAGAATACCCAGCAGCAGAGGCCCCTCACCATCGGGGACACTGTCTCCCAAAGGCTCCTTTACCACTCTCCCCCCCAGGATTCCTCTGGGCCACAACATTCCCCCAGACAAAGCTTTCTTCTCCTCCCGCCTTTCTTCTGTCAAGGAGCCCTCTGGGAGCAGCAGCATTGTCAGGATGGTGCCAATTAGGCTGAGGCAGCTTCCAAGAGGCTGCGCTGGCCCGGCCAGGGGCTGCTGTTGCTCATCAAGGTCTCATTGTTCGCCACGCCGTGGGGCTGCTGCCCGGCGGGGCCGGCCCGGCTCTCTGTCCCCGGCACGC